TTTAAATGCAAAATTCCCTTTAAGGTATTTCCAACAGAGCACATATTTACGTACTTACAATTCTTAAGTGTACTTTACATTTCTCGAGTATGGCGGTTCTTATACTCTGTGCAACCGTGCGTATCGTCTACGAATTGCAAATAGAGTCGACTTTTTGTAAGAGTTCTGATTTAATTGGTCATTTTTTTTTTTCGCTATAAAATAATCACTCGGGTTTTCGTTGTCTAGGGCAATTAACCTTGGTATGCTCACTTCGTAATTACGTACCGTGAATTTTATTACGTACTCTATGAGTTACGTTTGAATTTGGAATAATTTAAAATTTATAATTAAAAACAATATGGTTAGATAATTAAAGTAATGCAGATGAATTTAATCGGTTATACGGACCAGAAACCACCGTAGGGCTCATTATGGGAGTTAATTCAATTAAGTCATCCATATTCCTGCTTAGAACACCGTTAGTTTATGATTATGGCATTCATTAAAAAGAATAAGCAGAAATTACGATCTATTTTTAAATGTATTCTATCTCTATCAGTATTAATACTTACATATATAAATGGACCGGCTATTAGAGGTAGTATTTTGTGCCTATTTGATTTACGCCATTCTGGCGCTGATGGTAGCGGTTTGTATCGGTGATAGACTCGAACTAATAACGCAGGTAGTATTAACTGTCATGTAACATCAACATGCGTTTTTAAATCAGAACTAAGGAATAGTTGTCATTTTCAAGGAATCGAATATCCATTTCTTGGCGGTTGAACTTAGTGAAAGCCTAGCTTTAACTTCTAGCGTTCCTTTTCTTTAGCAGGGTTAAACGTTTTTTTTTTAGTTTGTTCCGTCATTTGAAGTTTTCAAAGTAAAATTAATCTTTTATGAAGCAGGAAAAACAATAATAGGTAAAATCTGAGTCAACAGTGACAAGATTTCCAGGAAATTGACTTATAATTTTTTGATTTCCTATTAAGCAATGCATGTTTAAATTTCAAAGACGTGCTTTCACAACCATCCGTGCTAGCTACCTTTTTGGACAGTTTGTCATTGCATAATATTTTAAGTGCCTTCACTTAACACGTAATGTTATGTTAAGTAGATTTTAACGAGCTAATGTTTATCTATAGAAAAAAAATACAACGCCAAGGTTCGAATCCGTCACGCTCCAGAGAACGCGCTGTGAATAGCGTGATTTTCCCGTCTGAAAAAGTTATTGACCGCAACGCTTGCCATATCTAGAATTTCATTTTTTTTATTATCCATTCGAATAATTCAAATTTCGAATCTGATATTTAACTAATAAAAGAATACGAGCGTCGGCTCCATCTACCGTTTGAATAGAGAACAAAAAAAAACGAAAACTTATCGAGTGCCAGTAGTAACCAATCAAAAAGTCAATAAGCCAAAAGTTATTGTCTTTTTGCTACCTGCCAGATAGTTACAATGTAATGACAATGATTTGAGAAAATTTGTAATGGTGCCGTAATGACAGCTAGCATGTTGAAACTTTTTTACCATTACCTATTATATTGCGGGAGCTTTGCTTCCGAGATTCATTTTGTTATACTAATAATTCAAATTAATTATCTCAAATAAGTGTAATATAATTGCCCACCTGACACAAAGATAATGTCTTTGGCGAGTGATCTCTTACAGATTAAAAAATAGCCAAAGAGATTTTATTCAAAACTTGTTAAGAAAAACAACATGCGTTATTATATTATCTAGATTGTATCTGCGCGAAATTAAAATACCTTAATAATAGCCTATGTGTTCTTCCAGAATATGTTCTAGGTCAGTGCCAAATTTCATGAAGATCCATTAAACCATCCCAGAGATACCTTCTAACTTCCATGCATCTATCTAAACTTCTACCTTTATAATATAAGTAAGATAACATTTTCTAATCAGAATTTTAATAAACCTAAAAGCCAGCACAATAGTAATCACAAATGGTCATCAAACTCTGAACTAAATAATGAAATTACTATTAAAAAGTTACACAATACAAAATAAAAAAATATCATGCGTACCAGGTATTAATTAGTTTTTATCATAATTAGTTAAGTTATAATTATTTCAATTGTATTTTCATTGATACCCTATTACATATTAGGCAACATGATTATGACCATTTATGTAACGCTTAATTAGTTTTTTTTTATACATAATGTCATTTACCCAAGTATTTCGGAGTAAATAAATTGCAACAGTAATTATCTAATGATATTTGGTTTAAATTCTTAATTACCATAATTATGAGATGGGAAAAATCGTGAGTGAAATATTTGACTTTTACTAAGTTAAATCTTTAAAAAACCAGTATTACTACTAAGTTACCTAATTTAAGTAACTTGTCTTATATAAATAACAAGAAAAAATTATGATGAATAGAATCTTTTTATAGGAAAGAAAGGGAATCTACCGCACCTCATTTTAAACCGAACCACAGTTCATGTTAAACACTATGTTTGCAAGTAAAATAATGGATCTAAGATAGAAATGAATATTTAATTGGTATTTAAATTCTAGGATTAGTTAAATAAAATACAAATAGTTCCAATTTGATAATTAAAAACAACTTTAAATAAAATTTTTGACATCGGAAAAATGTTAATGTTGTTATTAACTTAAACAGAAAGCCTCAATCTTGATAAATCATAGATTTATCTTATATATAAGATTCTCGTGTCACAATGTTAGTTACCATACTCCGTTGACATGCTTGACCAATTATTTTGAAATTTTATATGCATATTCAGCAGGTCTAAGAATCAGGTAGTGTCTTTTTTATCCCGAGCAGATGGAGTTGTGTGCAACAACTAGTAATGTGTTGATATCCATATTAGGTCATGAAAGTGAAGAGAGAAATAAGTCCACTAGAGGTAATACCTCAGTCTTGTCAAATACAATACTTAACATTTCAAAAATTATTTCTTACTTAAACAGCGAACTTGTATAAATAGTTCATCTATTGTTCAGAAATTTAAAATAAAGTGTTTTAACACTTTAGACCACATATTCACATTTTTTGCATAACTACATTTAAAAATTTTACATTACACAAAGATATTTGTTAGGTTACAAAATTGGATAAAACAAAGCTGTATCACTATGTCTAAATAAATGATTTCATAAATCACAGATTTACACTTACATTTCAAAACAGATTTTATCACAGACATTGTATTTCATGATTACGGTTAAGAATTGATTGGTATACTACAAATATCAAAGAAGATGTAATGCTGTAGACATGCAAAAGTAATAATTAAAATACACCGAAATTGATATTCACAATGATTATTGATTAGTAAATCCTCTTGTGGCATCAAAGTAAATAAACTATTTACTTTGACGACATCAGGCACTATGTAGAAACAAAATTGGGTTAATCCATACTAGCATTACTTTTTCATATGTGGGTAGAGAATTAATCATTATTAAAATTATGACATACAGATTTTTGTAATGAGAAAATTAATAGAAACTAAGTTAATGGACAGATTTCAAAATCTACTCAATTGCCTCAATTTTTAATTAATTAACTATTTCTATCATATTGTTGCTATACATGGCAGTATATAATATGCATTTTTTGATTAAGACTCATGACAGAGGAAAATAAATTAGAAAATAGCAATAGTTATCAATATACCAATTCGAGGAAAACTTATGTTTACTGTTTCAGATATGAAAAATTAAGATTGCGAAAGATACTGATAAAATCAATTACAACATACCTTGGAAGCTGGTCTGCCAATTATTATCAGGACGACAAGGTATAAATCTGTCCATCACTTCAGGTCGAACGAGCACCGATTCCTTCTTGCTCACTGGACTGCACTGCTGCACCAGTCTCTTTTCATATGGCTTACTAAACATTTTGTGTAAAGTTCAACTGCTTTGTCCAATAATACAAATAAACTAATGGAAGAAAGGACTAGATTGTTTGTCCAGTTACAGGTAAATTATCAACGGACCATCTTATTGATTTGTCGTTGTTCACACACTTCGAAATCCGCGAGACTACTACACCTCCCGACTGCTAGGGACCATTTGACAAAATTTGACATGCCCGATAGCGCAGCAGCGCAATTGATTATCATATATGCACTAGATGATAACTAACACAAACGAATTTTACGTTACACTAGTTTGATATTGTTCTTTTTCAAACGATTAGTATGCACAATTAATTTAAAATTAGACTTTGCTCTATTTAAAATGAAATCAAAATTTGAAACAGACAACAGCATATAAATAAACGCTGTTTAGTGATGTCCGTTTAAAATTGATCATCTTAATCGAAATGTCATCGATTTAAAATGCCCTGCAATTTTTGATTTATGCATACTTCGCAAAGATACTCATTTAATTTATTTAAAATGATAAATATATTTTTGGAATCATTCAAGATAGCTGTGAAAAAATGTTACTGAAAACGAAAGTAATTGGTTAAGAAAGATTTTTCCTTTTTCCACAATAAACCAATTTGTTTGCGATTACATATTGACAACTAAAATATTCAAAAGTGAAATTATTATTTCACAATTAAAATCGATTTTTAATAAATAAAATTAACATTGATCGTAATCGTAAAAATTATACTGACAGAAAACTAAACATCACTATCGATGGTACAGTGTTGCCTAATCGCAAACACGATTAAAATTTGAATCAAAACGGTCACTAAAGGATGTTGCCAGTACTGAAAAATATATTCAGATTTTGAATGTATTTTCCGATTTTTGTATAAAATATGTAAATAAAAAATGCAATACCTTAAGCTAATCTCTATTATTTTGAATTAACTTTTCCTGAAGAGTAGATGAAGGAAACAAGAATTTCGTATACAATTAAGTAGTAGTCATAGAAATGCTTAGTCATCATAACCCTTTCACCAAATTAAATCGGGTATTTGAAATCAAGCAAGCATCTACTAATTTACGTACTTTCCTCTCTCAGCAATAAAAAACAACAAGAAAATAATCTTATGATTTATTTTTCTTTACTACACAACACAATAAATGTCTGATACGTCTGTTTGAAAATAATTGACAATATGACCATCAACAACGTTAAATTCTAACACTCGATCATAGCTTGATTTAGTAACGGCAGTAACTGTTCTTTGTACAACGGATGTCGGTCACCGTGTGTAATCTTTAGTATTTTCTCTGCTAATTTCAATTGTTCTAAGGCTTTTGACAGATCCATTTTGTAGAGCAATATTTTTCCGTATTTCAAATGTAACAATCCCAGTAACGGATGCCTTTCGCCATAATAAAATCTGTAAGATGAAACAGTATTTATTAATTAGGGAAGTGGAAGTGGACTTTCCGAATGAGAGAATGCATGGGAAGTGAAAATATTTTCTTTCTGTGCATCCTCTCCTCCGTTGATTAAAGGTAGGCAACAGCAATGCAATTGCCATGTCTATGGACAATGCTCACTTCGCTATTTTAGCGATTTCAGGTGGCCGCTCGCTCGTTTGCCACCTTATGATATATTAAGAAACTTATTATATTAAACATTGGGTTATTTTCAAGTTTTTATTATTATTTTGTGTTGGCCATTTTCCAACTCTGATATTCACATGAAACATGGAATAAGTTTTTCAGCATACAGACAGGCGGTCTCCCATAATTGTACTTGTATGAGGGCATCAAACGCATGGTCTAATGTCTGAGCATGCATCACATTCAGTGGATGTAGAACCCCTTCTTGTTTCTCTAAGCAAAACTTACAAACATCTACATCTGTGTTACTGTAGTTAGGTTTAATATAAATTTTATCTTTTTAAATGAATTTATATTAATAAATGCGAAAGTTTAAATGTATGAATGGATGTTTGTTAGAATGTATCTCCATAACGGCTACATGGATCTCGCTGAAATTTGGCATAGATGTAGAACACAGTCTGGAAGAACACATAGGGACAATTATCTTCATTTTACAATTATTATATAAAATCATAGACAGCGACAAAACTGATATTTCTAACCAAAAGTAAAATTAAATTTTAAAGTTAAAAATACATTTAAGCGTGTTTCTAATAAAATTATATACGGGAAAAAATTGCACCATTTAAAAAAAAACATAAATTTTGAAAAAAAAGGATACATGCAACTGAGGAACCTTTCATTTTCTGTAAATGCATCTCCGTGAATTCCATAGTCTTTTTAAAAACTTCTATATCTTTTTCCGTGCATTTTGTACCACATGCACTGCATTCTCCATCTCTTTCTATTTCACTTATATTATTGCATTCTGACTCTTTTATCTCACTCTCATTATTGCTATCTCCATTCTCTTTTATATATCCATTCTTTTCGCTCTCATCTTTAGGTTTTCTGACCAATTCACAATCCTTCCATGATATTTTGATAGGGTTGTCACATTTCTGATTTGGACATTTTGCTGCATGTAATATTTTCATTTGTATATCACCTGTAAAAGGAATAATAATGTAACTATATAAATTTTTAATTAATAGTTTTGTCACTTTGTTTATAGAGTATTAAAAATTAAAATAGTGTGAGGTAGGACAAGCAAAATTGTAAAGTTCTGTACCAACATGTATGGTGTATTCAATATAAAAATTTTAAGTGTATAGAATAAAAAATCTTGTTAATCATATTAATGATAAAAAAAGACAAGTAAAATAGATATCACAATATGAGACTTGACTTGCATAAAAATCCTTATTCACAAGCAGCACATTTTTAAGAAAAAAGAAAATGATTAACAAAATCTATTTTTTTATGAACAATTGAATTATAAGACAGATGACTGAACTAAAAGAATGTTACACTGAACTACAATTAAAAGAAATTCTGTTGCAGACTGCTTTCCGAGTTCTAACGAGTTAAAATTACTGAAACAGTCCCTTTGTATAGATATTTAATATTAAATCTACAGTAAGGGCACCTCTAAAGAGTCATCTATATGACTCTTTAGAGTCTATACTCTCTTAGTGTAGCATCATGTGAATAATGATTTTTTTTAGTCATGTCATGCATTTAAATAATTAGTATGCACATCTAAAGCATTTACCAAAGCACCTGTCACACTCGCACAAGAAGTAGTAATTCTCCAATAGTTCCGTCTGACGCTCGTACGGTGTCTTCAGGAGATCAATGTATGAGATACGAATCTAAGAAATATAAATGTCTACATTTAAATCTTATATATAAAATTCTCGTGTCACAATTTTCGTTCCCGTACTCCTCCGAAACGGCTTGACCGATTCTCATAAAATTTTGTGAGCATATTGAGTTGGTCTGAGAATCGGCCAACATCTATTTTTCATCCCCCTAAACGGTAAGTTTTTTTAATTCCGCGCGGACGGAGTTGCGGGCGACAGCTAATTAAAAAAAAAAAGGTCCAAATCATAGACAAGCAGATATGACAGATTGAAATGTCAACCTATTATCAAACTGTCAAACTTTTATCTTTTTTTTCTCTGTGGCAACTAACAAGGAGTATTCTCCCAAAAACAGAAAACATTTAGAGGTTACAAACTTTACATGTCAAAATATTTGATAGTATGCAGATTTATATTATTATATTATAATCTGTATAAAATTAATTTTATGATTTTTTCATGTATTTACCTGATTCCAATCCAAGTTGGGCATGTCTTGTACGGCTCTGATATTAATAGTGTTGCCATCAAATGTAGCTACCGCATTGGGGTCACAACTGTGGTCTACAATAGATGATGCTAGATATATCCCAGTTCCAATTGAGTTCATATCTATATCTAGTATTGTGAAACTATTGATAACCATCTGAAATAAGAATATAATATTATTAGATATTTGATGCAAAAGCATCTTTTTAAAAAGAACTAACAGCAAAATGATGAAGTAAATGCTACTTCACAATAATACAAATTGATGGCCGAACACAAACAAACAAAAATGTTGGACACTCTGCCATGACAATTGGAAAGAGATTCAGCCCAAGCAGTAGCGCATGCTTCCTTATGCAACTACCACCAATAGTACTTCCATTCCTACCAGTATATTACATTTGAACCTGAATACGAAAGAATTCAAGGGACTGAGATTATTTCTCACTTATAAAGATTTCTCTCTAACCCGAGTTTCTCGCTTGTGGTGTTTGTCAGTATATGGCAATGACTTGCTTATAGAGATTTCTCGATTATCCTGGTTTATTGTATTATATTGAGTTAGCAATATTATGCAGGAAATTGAATACAATATTATTAAACTTAATTAAATTCTTATTAAGAGTCTACTATCAAAAATAATGTTATTACAACAGAACTGCTTCGTATAATCAAAACCTTCGCTCTAAAATTATTCAATTTTCAGTCCTCTCGATGTTCAATGAGAAATTTAAATTAAAAGTGTTGAAGTACTTACTCTACCGTACATTCCCATTAACTCAACAGTATTTGGTAATGATATGTCTTTGAGAAACTCAAACAACACCATGCATAGTGATGTGAAATGATCCATTCGCTTTTTATCTTGTTTTAAATCTGGATAATCTGAAATATTACAAAAAAAAACATGTTTAATTATTAATTGTACTTAATAATGCAGAAACTAAGTAAACTAAAATGTGTCAATCATTCAGTATATTACAGTATGGATGGATGGTTAATTTAATTTTGGTTACAAAGTATCTCGGGAACCGCTCAAGGGATCTTGATGAAATTTGGCACAGTTATAAAACTTCACACAGTCTGGAAGAAGACATAGACTATAAACAAGCTTTCAACTCAGCATAGACGGTGTCGCAGGCGACAGCTAGCTTATATATATTTACACAGTAAATATGAAGAAAACCTTAGTGGCATTAAATGTGTGAAAAAAAATCTTGTATACACATTTTTTCAGGCTTTTAAGCCATTTATCCTCATTATAATAAACAAAAATGTTATGCTTACGTGACATTAGATCCTTCCACATGCGAAACGACGTCTTTGTATAGTATGCACGACATGTGTGGCCATCGCCTCTACTTAGTCTGTTTACAATCTTGGCCAGCATACGAGCAGCATCTGGTATTATCTTTGGTGCCACTCTCTTCAAGTTAGCGCACTCCCACTGTCATATAACAAGTATCAAATAAATTGTAACAATCAAAAATATAGGTTTTTTTAATTGCTTTACATGCATAAGGCAAAAAATAAACGTCAAATACATTGAATACACCTAAAAGTTTATAAATATATCTTTATGCATACTTCACATATCAAACAGAAATGATTTTTTTTAAATAGTATGGTTTCATTGATAATCATTAGTTTAATGTGGCCAGATATATTATTAAGGTGAGAATAAAGAATCCATTTTTTTTGATAACCTTTGAGTTTTCTTACCTTGTGTCCACTCCAAGCTTCTTTCTGACATACTCGTCCACAGTAATGAACAAACTGACAACCTGAACATTTGAGCACCTTTAACCTGTATAAAAATATAATTTATGTTATGAAATTTATGTGATACATTATATATTCTAAATTATGTAACATACTTGAATAAGATATATTATTGACCGGGATTTATGAATGAATTTAATCTAAACTTTAATATTAGGACCAATCAAAAGTTATGTAAGTTCATATTTTTGTCAAGCTGAGTTTTAAAAATGTAAATTTTAACAACATGTTTTATTGTACAAGAACTACATGAGAAAACAATTTTACTTACTTTTGTAAGCAATTATCACATCTTAATCCTTTCTCCTTGGACGAAAGAACATAAACAAATGGCTTTTCAGTTAATAAAAGATCACCAGCTTTTACAGATGTATCCGAAAGTTTAAAGTTGTTCTTCATATCTGTTGTTTGTTTTAAGGTGGTATATTAACGAAAATATGAAGTTTATTGTAAAACTGCTAGTGCATCTAACATATTATAGAGCCTCAAAATATTGGAAAATATTTAAGGAATGTGAACTTTACTGTCGCGTACTTTACATGCTCCACCACTGAGCGAATTATCATATTATTCAGCTTACAGTTGGCTTAAATACCTGTGGCGCTAAATTTATACTCAACATCGGTAACATTATTTTTAGTTGCGTCTCTAACACATCCGCAACGAGATATATCAATGTGAAAAATAAACTAAAAGTCTCCTATTATTAGCTAGTCCGCCGCATATTTTCAATTCATAAGTTATTCTTAATATACGCTAAACGTAAGTATGATCTAATGTTATGTTTTTGATTTTCTTTCAGTATAAAACTAAATACAAATTAAAGTTATGCGATGTGATTTTTTTTATATTTAATGATATTTGATTGACTTTGACATTCCTTATTAAGACACTTTTGAAGTTTTGATCACATAGGAGACAATTCTTATGCATAGATTTATACCTCTGGATGGAGTGTTCGGGACACAAAAGCAAAAGTGTGACTAATTAGAAGGCCTTCAGAGGCCTTTTTTCCATAGGTTTTCAACATGTCGAGGGATTCTTTTTTCTAGCAAACCTAGGAATCGATACGTATCGTACGATTTTTTTCTTTCAGACCTCATGGCAGAACAACTTTTTGCTACTTACAAAGTTGACAAATGACTATGATAATCTGTCAAACTCAAATGTGTCAAAACAAAAACACATGGCATGTGAATAATGTAAACTAAAATATAACTCAGTTATAAAATAGTACACCTTTTTCAATAAAACTTTGTCAGATTAATTTATTATAGATATGTCGATTGTGTTGACGAAGGCTGCGCTTGCATTAAAAAATGCTGATAGCAATTTCAAAGTGGTTAAATTTGAAACACACAAACCAAAAAAGAAACAAACTTCAGAGCATGAAAACAAAATTGACGAGCATAACCAAACACCGCATATAAAGAAAGACTTAGATCTTAAGAAGATTCGGCATGAAGTTGTAAAGTTTGGGATGTCTGGATTTGATGGTACCAAGAAAGAAGAAGCCAAAATCGCTTTAGCAGTTAGTTTAGGTAAGAAGTAAACTCTTTACAGGACAACTTTGTTTCTGCTCATAATATATCATATGTTGAACATTATTAGTTAAAAACACTGATAAAGTTCTGATTATGGACCCTCCACAATAATTACAAATAAAATCTTATCAACAGTTCTCACTTTCAGTATTACTATATGAATAATAAGTAAATAATTAAATTAATATCAAATATTTAAGTGCATGTAACATCACATAATATTTAATTTTTAGGAGCCAAACCACCTAAACAGAAGTACATAAACTACAAGGAGTTAATGCAGAAGAGAAAGCAAGAGAAAGTAGAACAGAACAATGAGAAACAGCTTATGATATTGAAGACTATTTTGCAAACAGCTGGCAAGAAGAAAAAGAAAGGAGTTAATAATGATGTTGGACATTTCTTGGACAATTATGGAAAAGTTAGTATACATTTTTTTATGCAGTCAAGTTGTTGATATTATGGCTATAAAACTTGTGAATGTTTAAATTATTTGTACTTTAATGAAATGATCCTGAGTGGTGGCTCAGGGGATCAAGCACTTGACTTGTAATCTGCAAGTCCTGGGTTCGAATCCCGCCATGTACCAATGTGTTTTTCGATTTCCGATTTACACATATACATTTATCTGACGTTCTTACGATGAAGGAAAACATCGTGATGCTGCACATATCTGAGAAAAAATTCAAAGATATGTGTGAAGTCAACCAACCCGCACTTGGCCAGCGTAGTTGACTATGGCCTAATTACCCTTAACTTAGGGTAGGCTCCGAGCTCCTTGGTGGGGATGTATAGTGAGCTGATGATGATGATGATGAAATGTTCCTAATGCATTAAAACTGTGCAGTAAAAGTTCACCTTTACACTACATGTGGGCCGTTTTTTTTTACAAATTTATTTTCAATCTTGAGTTTTGTAACTATTTGTACCTTTTTATATAATTACATTATATGCCATTTTGTGTCAGTTTCTACAACTTGAGAAAAGTTTTCATATGTATCTTAAATCTTCTTTATAGTTTCGAAAATTGCATTAACATCTTATCTTTGTTTTTCAGGTACAGAAGAAAGATTTGAAAAATAACAAAAAAGCACCAGTAAAGAAGAAAAAATCATAAATATATTAGAAAAATTGTATTGTTAAGGTGTAAATAAAAAGTAAGATTTACTTTATTCTATCTTTTTCTTTCACAATCATCTTTAATTGAATATTTGAAGTCAAGACATTCTGCAATTTTAAGTTTTCCTTCCTAATTTTTTTGTACATAATTATACAAAGTATGTAATGTGTATAAATATATTCTTCAGTACCTATATATAAGAAATTAGAAACGATTCCATAAATAATAAGTAATTTAAAAATGTAGAATACGTCTTATATCTCTCTTATGAAGCATCAATAGCCTAATGGTTAAGGTTATGGATTTCCGATCACGAGGTCGGGAGTTCGAAACCCGCCATTCGACTATTGTAAACCATATCCTAGCACAAGTCTAGAGCTTAGTTGGAATGGTAAAAGAAATATTAGTAAATTTACAAAAAAATTGCTAATATTTTATTTAAAAAAAAATCTCATTCCCGAATAATACGCTTTCCTGCGTAACACGCGTTTTCGTCTCGGAAATCTTCCTATGGAAATCGTATTACCGGGGTTCTACTGTATTTTGTGTCATTTTAATTTAATAATAGTATATAATTTTGATCTAATATTACTTAATTTATAACAAATTGATGTACAATATTGCAATAATTTAACCCTTCAGTTAACTAATTATACCTTTAATTAATTAATTGTCCTATCAGTTAATTAGTGACCTCTTGTAGTAATTAAACCTACATGTAATTAATTAACCCTTTATCTAATTAATATTTTCTATATTAATTGCGTATTGGGAGTGGGGGTAATTAAGCGACATTTAAATACGAATCAAATTCGAAATTCAAATTACAAACTCACCAGTCTTTGACAAGTTCACAACTCCAGTGATTTTTAATTAATAAAATGGATCTACATTTACATTTGAGTGTAGCATTTCGTGCTTTAGATCGTAAATGGGGTAAAGCTATCGATTTGGATTATCCCGAGGAAATAACAAGATGTATTCCTGCAGTTGTAGATAATGAAACAACGACATTTTCTTCAGAAGAATATTTAAAGACGTTAAGACGCAATCGATCAAAGCCATATACAAGAATGGAAAATTCTGGATGGACTTTAAACAGGTCTAATATTAAGAAGTGTGATTCTTTTTCCAACATATCGATAGCAAGATCTTCAAGTGAATGCAGTTCTGAATCTACCATAAATAATGTTGAACCGTTATCAAATAAGTCATCTGGTAAAACATTACATCGAAGCAAAAATGGATCAAATTTCTTAAAACAATTAAAAGTTCCCACATTGATGAATGTGAAAAGAAAATTACGAAGAATTTGTAGTCGTGATAAATTGTAAAATAAATGTTTTTGTCCCTGTAAATATTATAAATATCTGTAAATTATTTATTAATTTTTTATTTCAAATTAAATTTATATCTTTAAAATTTATGGTTTTCCTTTATTACAATCCAGTATCCTACTTTTAAAATAATAACATAAAGGTTTTTATTTATTTATTACCGAGGGTTTTAAGTGCACGAAAGTTTACAGTTCACCTTTCGCAGAAACGCCCGTCTCTTGTATAGTTCATTTTACTGTAAGTAACATAAAAATTTATCAATGCTGATTATAACTTGATATATCGTTCTTAATCAGTTGTTGCTCATACGTTTACGCGGTGTGTTATTTATTGTGTTTTTTGGCAATGTCTGAGTTAGGAAAATTCATCGTTATAGCGCTGTTGTCTTGCAGCATCACAACAATTGTGTCAATCATCTACATAACTTTGTGCTGCTTCGCGTTAATCTACCGCTTCGATTGTTCCACCGCTCAAACAATTGTGCACAATTCTGATTATCTACTCATTTTAGTATACAGGCAATATATAAAAGATGACACTTGTTTTGGTTCGTTAGCAATACCAGATTTAATGCATTCAGATACAGTGTTTGTGCTAATATCAGTGTCGTTAGCTTTCTCTGCTGCGAGCCTTTTAGCTGCCTTGTCTCTTATTGTAGCGATATTTAATAAAGAATGTTGGTATTATTTAGATTTTGGTACTTATGTGCATACAGGCTTTTGTGTAGCAACATTCGTTGTTGATATGACATTTGCGATACATTTCGGATTGGATTACACCAAACTAACAGACAGATTGAATGCAGATATCTTAGACGAGCCTACTAAATATTTAATAGATATGTTGCGAATCGGTGCTTTTTTACTCATTGTGCTGACGATGAAGGGTTTCGTCGCGCATGCAATAAACTTGCCCCTGTTGGTTCCGTTGATATATTATTTGCTCAGGATAAACACTGAACAGAAGGAACCTAAAAACCACATTCAAGAAGTTTTGAACGTCTCAACACGAGACAGCGAGTCATGGCCAATACAGAACGTTGCGGCTACAAATCTAGAACCTGTTAAAAACGTACAGCCTAGTAATATACAAAATGAAGAGGTTTCGCAGACATCGGATTGCGAATTTTTGCCTGTGAGCTCTTTGCAAGGGCACTCGAAACCGCAAGCGCACTTTGGGATATCTCCTCATCGGCCCTTCACATATTCGGAAGGGTTAACCCCGACTATGCTCAGGTCCAAATCACCCAAGCCACCGAAGCCTTATACGCCAAACCCAGACTATGGACAATAGTCAGTATTCAAAACAAACAATTTATTAAATTAAGTTTTAATACATAATGTAATCACCACAAATGCAATAATACATTAATATACTATACTAGTTTTTATATGTCCATTGTTTATTATTTATATTATTATATAAACGTATTTTTAACAATTTAAATCAAAATAGTCTTGTTTTTTATTTCACCTGTCAAAATAATATAAATCATATTTAATTTGTTTATAAATAAATCTTCACTTAATTAACCTTTCACCTCATTAAGTGACCCTTAATGCTATGTCCATGAATTAATACATTCATAACAATTTTTCATTATTGTTTATTTTTCAAAATTGATATAAATTACAAACTATTTAATAATAATTAATTAAGTACTTCAACCAACGGTCGTTTAGGAAACACCCATATTCCCAATATGCTATTACTGCAAATTTTTTAGTTTTTGGTTAGTATTCCGATCTTAAAACATCAAATAGGGTATAGGAAACCAAAACAAGGAATACTTTAATTACTTCGTTGTTTAAACTTATTTTGGCCACCAAAAATGGACACTTATACATAGAAACGATAGCTTGCAATGATCACCCTTTACAAAGAGAATGCCTACGTCCCTCGCATAGCGCACTTCGCTATAACAAAGATAAAAATTATCAATATTGATTAAACGCTGATATATCGTTATTAATCAGTGGTGATTCGTTTGTGCGCGGTGTGTTACTTATTGTGAATTAATTTGTTAGAAATGGGCGCGACGGGGAAGTTTATGGTGACAGCGCTGTTGTCGTGCGCCATCACCGGGATCGTCTCCACAACTTACATCATATTGTGCTGCCTCGCGCTTATCTTCAGGTTCGACTGCTCCACAGCCCAGACCCTAGTGCAAAACTCTGATTACTTCCTAATTTTAATTTATAAGCAATACATACAAGATGAAAGTTGTGGAACATTTTTACCAATAGAAGACTTGACGGAATCTAAATCTGTGTTCGTGCTAACCGCAGTGTCATTAGCGGTGTCTACAGCCAGCCTTGTCGCCGCATTGTCTCTGACAATATCAGTACTCAGCAGAGGATGTTGGTACTACCTGGACTTCGGGGCGTATGTACACATCGGCTTATGTCTGGCGATGCTTGTGGTTGACATTACTTTCGCCGTACATTTCGGCTCGGACTATACCACACTTACGGATAAATTAAACGCCAACTCAGTAATGGCACCAACTAATTATCTGATAGATACGTTGAGAATCGGTTCCTTCTTCCTCATGGTACTAACTATGAAAGGATTTATGGCTCACATAGTGAACTTGGTGCTACTGGTGATGTTGATTTATTACTTGCACAGTAAAAACGCCGAAGAGAGACAGCAACATTCCATCCACAGCCGAGGACTATTAAATGCTTTTGAACAACCCAGTTACAATGACCCTTGGCCGGTGCAGCAGGGTTGGACTTCGACGCTAGGATCCGTTGGTAACGCCCATCCGGGCTATATGTATAACGAAGGGCCTCAACGGTCATCGAATTGGGAATTCGTGCAAGGCAACCGTTTCCCAGGGCAGGACTTGCAGCCACGTGCGGGTACTATGCCGCCCCGCCCGTTCTCGTACTCCGAGGACCCAGGACTGACACCGTCGATGCTGAGACCCACTCCACCCAAGCCTTACACGCCGAATCCCGACTATAGCCCAAACCCACGTTTGAAATCTGCCTTGAAGAGTACCTATTAGTTATTAAGTAAATTATTTTTTTAATATACTTTTTGTAGTAAAACCTTTATGTCTCAAACGTTGAAAGTTTTTTTTTTATGATTTAAACCATAATAACCTGACTCAAAATCGTATTTAAAGTTAGGTTAGGTTCGTGCAACTTAAAATTTTCCCCTTGTTATTTATTTTATAGTCATAAAGCAGTGTCTACATATGTTAAGTTAATTGTTTCTTGTATTGATTTATCATTTACGTATCTACATTATATTTATAATAAAATAATTACGTCATTCTTTTATCTAATATCGTGGTCTTAGATACATCAAACGGAAATAATAGCAGTTTCTTTATGTAGCATTTTACAATTTGAGCTTGTAAACTTACGTAGGTCTGTGGCGCCATCTGTCGAAACATATGTATGAAACTTCTTGCTATGATAAAAGTTGATTTGTAAATATCATAATTAAGTACGTATTTAGATGTATCTGTGTATATTTATTCCATATTACTACTTACATAAGTTTTCTAATAAATATTAATATTTAACTTCGTATTTTTATTATCATTTCAAGCCCTATTGTTTTAAATCGTAAATGATTGCCAGTAGCCAGTTGTACTTTCGTAGGAGAATTATCACTTCGCCATTAAACATCAGGTCAAATACTAGTTTTTTTATTAATAAAAAGATATAATAATTTGCTCCGTAATGCTTAAGGGGTCTAGCACAAATTTTGGTGAGAATATTTTCGTAACCTCATTGACAAAATATTAAATTTTGTACAGCGCCACCTAGCGGTTGTAATAACATAAACAAATCTCATGCGTTATGACGTTACGAAGGCGCGTGTCGCGATTATTCTTGCTACACAATTTTCAAATGCATATTGTTTTAAGGATTAAATAAAACAAAAGAATTCATATTTTTAATATATTTCATACTCGAGAAACTAAAACAGTTAAAATATTTACAAAATTCATTAATATAAATACAATACTAATATTATGCAGGCAAGTTCATTTCTACAATAAATAAGTTTATACGTCTTAATTATTAATTAAAATAAAAAAAAATACATTTTTAAAAACACTAGACATACGGCTCAAAATATTTAATAGCGGTAGTCATTGATTTTTCGTTGATATTGTTCGTTGTTATTGGGTTCCTAACGCGCATTTTTACATCCTTGGGCTTTAGTACATTCTTATGGTTGGCACTTGGAGGTCTCATAGTGATGTAATTCTTGCTCGGCGCAAAAATAGACTTAGAACTCAGACCGGAACTTTCTAGAAAGAAATCGAAAGATCCTTTCGTTTTTGTCACATTTTCGGATTGATTTATAATCATCCTTGGCTCACATTTAACTGTATTATAAGAGCCACTGTTACTGCCGGACGAATTACTGGATTCTATGTCAGAGTTTCTCACGGATTCAGTCTCTAAATTCTCTATATTGGAAAGGAGATCAGGTTTGTTTGAAAGCTTAGCATTTTTTGATAAGCACTTATTCACATTGCTGTCGTTATTGTCATGAAAGTTGTCAGATTTTCCGTTATCGTCATTTGCATTGTTATGTTGGTTGGTGGTGTCAGGTACAATGGTGTGTAGCTCGGTGACGACGTCTGAGGCAGAACCGTCGCTGCTGCCGGAACTGATGCGATATTCTTCAGCGACGATGCTGCCGAGCTCATCATCTATCTTAAACTCTTCAAAATCCTGCGACAAATCAAACTTGTCTATATCATCTAAATATGCAGCTTTACGCGGCTCCGTGTTAACGTGTATTTTCTCAGAACCATGATGAGGGTTGAACTGACTATCTAAATCAGTAAGGTTTATTTGCTTCACACCAGATTTGACACCTCGGTTAATTTCTGATAGTATCGACGACACCGTGTTTCCCATTTGAATGGAAGCGCGGGAGTCTAGTTTTGGTTGTAGAGGATGCATATTAAAATTAGCCAAGTAATTGTCTGCTGACTTTGGGAATGAACGTTGTTCTTCGGTTGGCTTCTCATCTTCATCGGGGATAATAATTTCCGTGACGTGAGGAAGTTTGGGAATGTCTTTGTCGCTTATTTTATTTTGGATTCGTGGTAGTGATATGACCTTAGCCACGCTGTTTCTCTGGTTCACTGCGTGTATCGGGTACTGTTCGTTATGTATCTCTACCGTTGGCTGTGTAAGTAGCAATTCCCTCTTACTATTGCCGACTACTGGAACATTTATCTCTGAAATGGAGCAGTAGTCCGGTTCTACATTCTTAGCGTTTGCTACTTGTCCCACTTTCCTCATCTTAACGTCTGCAACCCGTTGATTAGCCGCAACGGCTTCAGAGTCTAAAGATTCTGTCGGGTATTTGACAGCGTTCTCAGCTCTTAATTTGGCTGATAAATTCTTTGGCTTGGGCGGCAATGCGGGAGGAGTTCGTGGCACTTTTCTTTTGTTGAATGTTTTCATCGATCCAAAATTATTGTCTATTCTTCTTTCCAATATATTATTTCTGTTCTCGATATTAGCAGCGATATTTTTAACCATAGACCCTCTTATCTTAGGCACATTCTTCTCAACGTTTGGCACCGTACGCTGTATTGGGACTGATTTTTGTTCTATAGATTTTGTAACTATAGGCTCATATTCATTGCTGTAGATACTTTGAATTTCGTATTGAAATCCTTGAGCGGTATTAGGCACTTCGTAACTATGTTCTGAAGCAGTCTCTAGACTGAATTTAACGATTTTATTAGCCCTCTTATCGGTTCTTGGTAGCGTATGATTATTACCACTTGTTCTGACTTTGTCATCGTATGATATACTATTCAAAGTAGAAAACTGAACGCGTTTTGTTGCTGCTTTAGGACTTGGAGACTCACTGGATTTAGAATTGTCATTACTGCTATCATCCAATGAATTTTGTAGCAAAATTTGATTGACACATTCAAGTACTGGATTATTTTTGTATATCTCATTAGGTGGGGTGTCGTCAGCATCACTTGTACTGGCGTACCAATTCTCACTAATCTCTGTAACAGTTGTTTGTTTTGCCATATTAGCTTCAATGTTGTTGTTTTTGTCGTCAAATTTTAAACTGTAATTGTCGTTTACGTTATTTATTATATTGTTACATAGAACATCATTCTTTGCATATGTGATTTCAGAATTTTGAATTCCATTATGTTCAACGATTCCAAATTCGTTTTTGTTCGATTTATTACTATGAAATAATACTCTTTGGTCTAAACCATCAGCATCATTCTCTGGATCGCTGACATTACAGTACCAAGGTTTCTCGTTGTTTTCCTCATTTAGGACATTATTTAAGAAGAGTTGTCTATTAGCTTTGATTTCATCAGACGCTTGTCTTTTGATGCCGTGCAGTCGTTCCATCGTCGTTGAATACGTCTTATCGGAATCACTCTGAGTATTTTCTAGTTCCTTTTTCGCCGCCTCTCCAATCAACTGATCTATTTTCAACGAAGCTCGTCGAATATCGTTTGCGATTAGATTAACTGTTGAGTCATTGTCATCTTGATTCACTCTATAATTCATACTAAGACATTCTTCAGTGCTACTGCTATTATTTTGATTGATGTAACTCTTTTGCATGTTGTCGGTAAATTTACCGTTATTTTTCCGTCCTGAATATTTCCTGGATCTTCGGAATACATCACGTCTTACAAACGCTTGTTTGTTTTTGATGAATGTTCCCTTACTGCCGATGCTTGCGGTATTACCCTCTTCACTCGAGCTCGAATTGCCATAAGTGACATCGGTCTTCGGCAGTTGAAAGCTTTTACTTAGTCGTGTATTCTTTTGGAACACTGGAGGAGAGTTTCTTTCGCGATAACTACAACTCCTGACGAAAGTATTTGGAAATCTTGAGTCCGTGCTCTCCAAGCTGTGGAATTCTGGATCGGTCTCAATATTTGTTTGTTCACTTGTGAACCCGAGAAGCTGCTGACAGTTACTGCAGTACGACTTTCTAGCCTTGAGTTTTGTAATTTCTTCTTGTTGTGATTTTATAATTTTGTCTTTTTGTTGCAGGGATACTTGGATTTGTTTTTGTTCCCTTGTGAGTCTAGATTCTAGGAGGACAAGAGAGCGTAAGACAAGAGCTAGTTGGTCTTGGCGCATTCGTCTTTCTTGGGAGGCCTGTTTGTTTCGTGCAGCAAGCGCCTGTCCGGCCTCGACGAGCTGGTGCCTCTGCTTCAATACGGACTCTGACTGCTGCTGAAGAGCGCTCTTGACCGCGTCCAGTTCCCGCCGCAGCTCCATAGCTTCTGAACTGCTATCCATCTGAAATGATACAGGAAATATATTAATATCACATCGTTATTGTTTAATTCGGACATCGATAAATAATCGGACGATTACATTGTCCACAATGAATTTGAAAAGTCAAGTACGTGTAAGACACGTTTAAAATTATATTCAAATTATCGTTGTGCATCAAAGTGCACATCGTGTTTCTATAAGAAGTATTTTCTGCGTCAGATCAAAGTACAATATAAATTATGCTAAAGAGGTCAACGGTTATGGAATTTTTAAGTACATAAAGTTATTGCATTAAATATACAATTAATACCAAAAATTACATATATAACTAGCTGTCGCCCGCGACTCCGTCCGCGCGGTATTAAAAAATAGATGGCCGATTCTCAGACCTACTCAGTATGCTCACAAAATTTCATGAGAATCGGTCAAGCCGTTTCGTAGGAGTATGGGAACGAAAATTGTGACACGAGAATTTTATATATAAGACAAGAAACTTTTTATACGAGTTGATTAAAAACAAATTTGTTGAAAAATATTATTATAGCTTACATTTTATAACACCATATACTCGAACCCAATTCGTGCTATAGATTTTTAAAGCCCATTCAGATTAGTAAATATTTAATCGATATTCTTCAAAACAATCACATTTAAATCTGACTAATAAAAGTTAGAACATAACTTCACTCTATCAGCTCGGATTATAAACTGAAGTGTAAATATTTATCGTATATGTTATGTTTACATTTCACTATTATATATTTTTCCCGACCTTTGTACGCGAAGTCAGCGAACTGACTCCAATGTTTTTGTTTACATTTGAATATGTTGTTTAGAATGTGTGTCAATAATTAAATGTCACCTACTTCGTTTTACAATTGGACTTTGCACGTCGTTACGAAAATCATTCAAATATTTAAATTACTAATAAGTATA